TCTTTCACTCTCTGTCTCTCTCTCTCTGTCTCTGCCTCTCTCTCTGTCTCTTTCTCTCTCTCTCTCTCTCTCTCTCTCTCTCTCTCTCTCTCTCTCTCTCTCTCTCTCCTTTCTGTCATCTTTATTGAAAGATCCAGAATGCTGTTGAACCACATGCAACTCTCTGGAAACTGTGGCTCTACAAAATTAACATATAAAGTTACCCATCAAAGTGGACTTGACTGGCTGTATATCTGTCTAAAGGTAATTTATTGCATTTCCCACTTGTGAGCATGATTGTCAGTTACCTGACAAGTCGGCTGTGCCCTGCCTACACACCCATTTTACCTCCACTGTCAGAAAGATATTATAAAGTGACAGATAAGGGCAGGGCAATAGCTCAGCTGACTGAGCCCCTGCTTAGGCAAGTACAGGGAACAAGGCTTGATTCCCGGCACCACATGGTGCACTGGCCTCATCCCTGGGCATGCTGAGCCAGCGACTGAGTCCAGGTATGTCGGAGCACGCCTATAATCCCAGGGCTAGAGAGGCTGAAAACATGAGGATCATTAGGAGTCTGAGCTGTGTAGTGAGACCCTATAGACCTGTACTAAATAAATTTTTTAAAAAAGAAATTATCATGTATATCAAGATAGATTTGTCTGGAAGTAACATAAATAAGCTAAATACATTGTTTAAATCAAATTTCAGTTTACTTTTCTCTCATAGAAAGTGATACAAGTCTCCCCTTGCCTTTTTCTTTAAACCCTAAGTTGGCTTCATGCTACACAGTGTAAGTTAGACCTGTAGCCATTATATCTAGGTTACAAGAAAATTATAGGAAAATTATAAATATCTTTGCTTAGAATCAGTTGGGCTATTACAAAGAAATCAATCCAATAATTCCTGCCTACATCTCATTAGAAAAACAACGAGGAAAGGAAAAGTAGTGTATAACGTTTAGCCTCCTGCTTTGTCTTCCAATTACGTTGAAATGTGTTATTAAAGAACAGCCTGTCTTCTTCTCCACAGTGGAAAAATCCTAAGTTTCCATCCTTGCCACTACTCCAGTAACACAAATTGTTAGTGTAACTTGGTATTATCTAATAGCATTGAAATTATGCATAACTCACAACTCAGGAAATATCCTACCTGCTAAAATATCCTACATGCTAAGAATACATAGTTAAGAAAAATTCACACATTCACAGAAAATACACTATTTATGGGTGAATATCTGGCAACAAAATGGTGGTTTTGTTGCCAAATGTCAAAAGCAAATGAGATGTCCAAAGGAAACAAAATGGTAAATGATAATTCACGAGAGACCTGCTTGATGGGACGTGACAAGTAAAATAACTAAACTTGTTCTATAGTTATGACCAGTAGCTTCATTAAGCTGAAATAGATTACAAAACAAGTTGTGCTAGGTTACACAATGTATGATAGTTTGTATAATTGTAAAAAGAATATAATCTGTTTCTAAACACATCTGTGCCTGGAACTATTCAGTTTTATTAGAAATGTGAAGTCTCTGATAATGGTTATTGTTTAGAACTATGCCACTGTGAGATCAGATCTCTTCTGATAATCATTATTCTTGGTGAGGAGGAAAATGGAAACATAAAGGTGAACAAAGAAGACATAGAACAACATGTTTTATTGACTTTAAAATGACAAAAAATAAGTATGATGCAATATTAAACTTGTTCTTTTATATAGATGCAATTAAATTACTTTTTTATTTTATGATTCCCCAATAGAAGTAAATGTTAACCATTAAAAAGACTATGCCATTTATATATTTTCATAAGAATGAAATTATGGATATACTTACCCTCTGTTCGTTTATGATTTCTAAAAAGGCACTTTGAATTTTCAAACTTTTATTAGAAGACTAGGTTAGGTTGACTAAGCATTATTAATCATCCTTAGGTAGAAATGTAAGTGAAGAAGACATAGGTGAAATGAATCCCAATAGATTGTATGGATATACTTTAATAAACTCTCAGACATATATAGCAGGTTGATTTTAAGTAAAATGAAACACTTAAAGATATGAATTTTTATGGTGGTAATATTTTTCACTAATAATAATTTGGAGGCTGGCCAAATAGCTCAGCAGATTAAAGTGCCTGCAAGCAGGTGTAGGGGCCAGGGGTTCGATACCAGGGCCCTGCCACGCTGAGACTGCAATTGAGACTGGGCATGGTAGCGCACCTGTAATTCCAGCTCTTGGGAGGCTGTAAACAGAATCACTATGTGCCTGATCTAGTAGTGATACCCTGAACACCCTGTAAACCCTTCCCTAAAATACAATAATAATAATAATAATAATAATAATAATAATACTTTGCAATGTGCACATCTCCACTCCCATATTCATTCACCTCAAATTTTCTTTGGTAAAGGTCGTGCAGAGCTTCCACTTGCTGCCTCCGCTTCCCATCCAGCAGAGCTGCATGGTCCTGCATGAAGTCTATGTCCGCCTGAACTTTTGCATTCGCTTCCTCTAGCTTCGTCTTCTGCTTTTCCAAATATTCTAACTGGTCATATCTATTTTCCAGGTGCCACCTGAGCTCTATGAGATCTCTCAAAAAGGCCTCATGCTCTAGAGGTAGAATAATATGAACAACAAAAGAAATCAATGTTGAAACAAACACTCTAGGAAAAATTCTGTGATAATAAATGTGAGCTAATTTAAATTCAGAAATTACTTACCTGTGAATTTTGTTAAACCTAAAGTAAGGGTCATTTAAATCCTGCATTATAAAATGTGTTGTTTTCTTTATTCCCCACCAAAAGTACTGGAGTGTGCTTTATAAATTAATAATAACTTTAGTATGAATCTTACTTATTATGATCAGTAGATGCACTGAACATTACATAGAGGCACTTAGTTAACTGCTTCAAAATTAGAAAAATGGCTAGTCACCTTTAAAAATCACCAAGAGCCAGGGAGATGGCTCAGTGGAATAAGTGCTTCCCTGGCAAGCACAAAAGCACAAGGGCCTGAGTTCAATCCCTGATTCCACCAAAAAAATATAAAAAAAAAATAATATATATGGGGGCTGGTGAGATGGCTCAGTGGTCTAAAGCACCTACTGAGAACAAGCATAGCAAAGCACAGGGACTGCGGCTCAGTCCCCCAGCACCACATGCCAGTCAGCCTCGCCCCCTGGTGGGCTGAGCTGGCCACACACACACACACACACACACACACACACAAATAAATAAATAAAATTTAAAAAAAAATCACCAAGAGGTGAAATGGTGAAATAAAAACTACAAATATAATTAAATGGCAGATGATTATTGCTTATTAGTGACACAATTGTATAATAAAACATACAAAAATAAATGAATAAAGAAGATGAAAATTATTAAAAATGATAGTATTATTCATGTAAAGTTAATACACAAAATAAATGTTTACATAAGGACTAGGTTAAAAAAATTATCTTTCACCTACAAGAATATGATGTAAATAAACTGCACAAATCTATTAACAACCTGAATTTAAACTGGGAAGGGCCCGCATGAAGAAAATAAATGAATATTGTTAAAATTCTACAATAAATTTGAACACATGGAAAATATTAATTTTTCTATATAAAAATATTTGAAATTTTGAACAGGTAAATTTCCCTCAGTTACTTTTTTCCTCAGTTACTTTTTACTTTAAAATGTAATTATGGACTGGCTAGATAGCTCAGCAGATTAAAGCACCTGCTTAGGCAGATGCAGGGAACAGGGGTTTGATCCCTGGGCCTGCTGAGCCAGCCCTGTCCTCAGAACACTCTGAGATGGTGATTGAGACAGGGTGTGGTGGCACTGGCCTGTAATCCCAGAACTTGGAAGGTTGAAAACAGGAGGATCACTACAAGTCTGATCTGTGTAGTGAGACACTGTAGACCTTGGACTAAATACATAAAAAAGTAACCAAATTTCTTCAATTAGCAAAGAGAGTTCAGAAAATTAGACAAAAATATTTCTTTATTATACTAATTTTGTAACTATTCTTTAAGTTATTATTGGAATAAAAGTACACTGGTTGCATTGTTTTTTGTTTTTTTTTTTTTGGAACCGGGGATTGAACTCAAGCCCTTGCACTTGCCAGGGAAGCGCTTATTCCACTGAGCCATCTCCCAGGCCCCAACTGGTTGTGGTTTTAAAAATCTTTTTTAAATTTCTTGAAATAATTTTCCAAAGTCATCAACTAGGACATATTTTTACATTTATATGCAAATTTTGGGCATGTGTTTTTTCATTTCTTTTTTACTATTTCCACCTAAATTTGGTTTATAATTTATGCTAATTTCCTATAACAGTTTTAATATTTTGAAATTTCTTTTTCCTGGTATTTTTTAGAAGTTTGAAGTTGTACATAAATGTTTATTTCTTAAGAATGTATGTACAGGAGCCGGGGAGATGGCTCAGTGGAATACGTGCTTTCCTGGCAAGCGCAAGCGTCTGAGTTCAATCCCTGGTTGCGAGAAAAAAAAAAAAAAAAAAAAAGAATGTATGTCCTTATCTCGTACCTACTTTTTTTGTTACTAAAACAAAATGCCCAGCTCCCAAAGTTAAGGGAGCAATGATTCATTTCAGTGTGTGGAGGTTTCAGTCCACTGTCAACTGAGTCTGAAGTAGAGTAACATGGCAGAGCAAGATGTAAAGGAGAAGCAGTTCATGCAGGCAGAAGGCAGGAAGACAAGAAAGCAGTGAAGTAGTGAGGAAGCAGTGACTAGCAGCCACAGCAGCCTTCTTGTGCCCCTTATATTCCACTCAGGCCACATACTCTTAGGAAGGGAGGCGCTCACACACCAGATGGGCCACCCTCAATTTTCACATCACACTGTGGATCAATGGCAGCCTCACGTCCTTAATCTCAGAGTCACACTCTAGATCCAAACACCTCCCAAAACTCACACCTGTGAGTACAGAGGCTCTGGGGGGACATCTACACATAATCTGTAACAATATGCAGTATACGTATTCCTATCTCTTTGAGGAAAGTTTTTAGATTACTGAGCTAAAGTATTTCTATCAATGCTTATATGAGCATTTTTTTTTTTTTTTTGGGAGGACCAGGGATTGAACTCAGACCCTTGCGCTTGCCAGGGAAGCGCTTAGTCCACTGAGCCATCTCCCCGGCCTCTGTATGAGCATTTTGATTGTCCATCAACTCATTCTTTTTTCTAGAGTTGATCAAAATTTTAATAACATCTTACAAAATCTTTACATCTCTTCATTACCATGAATCAATGTGGGAAAGATAAGGATATATGACAGTATCATCTTGACTTACTTCAGAATCACCCAGGAGATAGGTGGAGCATAGCTCTGGGTGTGCCTGTGGGGGCCACTCTGGTGTCACACTTGGCTGCTGCTGTGTCTTGGCCCCTTTCTCTGTGTGCTGTTCCCACACACTGCTTGGGAACTGCCATCAACAGAGCTGCCTGCTCACATTCCCTTCCCCAGGAAGCTCCTGATGTGGGTGCAGTCAGCAGCGAACTGAATCCTCTGAAATCGTGAGCCTAATTAAAGCTAGCCTCTAAATTTTACATGGTAGGTCTTTTGGCCCAATAGTCAAAAAGCTGACTAATACAGTTACATCTTTGGTTCTAAATCTGATGAATTTATCTCAATTTTTGATTGATTTTTTGCCATTGCTTTTCCATATTTTCTTTCAATATTCTCTTTTTTAAAAAATATTATTATTCTATACAGGGTCTTGCTACAGAGCTGAGACTCACAGTGATCCTTGTATCTCAGCCTCCCCAGCATTGGGTTTATAGGCATGTGCCACCAGGCCAAGTTTCTGTGGCTGGAATGGTGTGCCTGGGGCTCTGGGACTGGCACAGCATGCAGTACTGGGGATTAAACCCGGGTCTTTGTGCTTGCCAGGCAGGAGCGTAGACCTCCAAGCTATCTCCCCACTCAGTATTCTCTTTTTAAAATAAGGTAATATGCAGTATCTTGTAGCTTCTAAAATATATGTTTCACTATTTTGAATATTTTATTGATTTTTTTCCCTTGTATTTACTTTGTTTTTAATGTTTGAAATTCTACAGTCATAATTTTGAATTAATTATGAGTCCCAATTTTTGATGTTGAAAAAAGATATTTGTTTCTAAGGGATAAATAGTCCTTTTCTCACTCAAGTGAACCCAATTTTAATAAGCTTTAAGAATGTATTTCTAAATATCCTCGAACTTCTTGGATGTGTGCAATGTTTGCCTCCATTACTGTCTTACTCTGTTTGCCTCCACTAACCAGACAGCAATCCATTTAGAACTTCTGTCATGTCGTTAAATGTATATTTCCACAATAATCTTCCATTAGGCATACACTGAACCACCTCATTCTATACTCCATGCTTCTAAATCCTTTATTTGCCTCCTCATGGTGTTGCTGTAATGTATTTTATGCAATTCCTTCAAATTTTAGTTACCTATTATTTTCTGTGTTGGACACACAATTTCATTGACTATTATTGACTTATTTAGTTAAAGAATTAGTTTCTTAGCCTTTATTTAGTTTTTAAATTTCTCTTTTTTAGTTCTTGAAGCATATCAACCATACTTATCATATAAAAGTATAAATCTCATGTACAATCCAATACCTGAAAAAAATGAATAAATTCCATGAACTATTTCTAGTAGTTTAAACTCACTGGTCTTCAATCACTGAGAATTTTACATTTGGTGTTGAGCTGCCCCTCATCTTGGAACTTGATCTGAGGTAATTCTTTGGTGTCTAGTGCACAGTTTTAGTATTCCAGAGAAAATTCATCTTTGCTCTTTAAAGATACTTGATGTTACTGTCAATCCACAAATTATTTAAATAACAGTTTCCAGTTAACAATTTTTCAACAAGCAGACAGCAGCAATATGAGCAGGAAACTATTTGAGATCAGCGTTAGTAGTGCTCAGGGAATATTGTTTTTCTCTGTGCTTAAATGAAAAAAAAATTTCAGTTCAATCTAGATAACAGGTTTAGTCTTAATTTACCAAACTGACTATACAGACCTTTAAACGCCAAGCTTCACTTGGTGTCCTTAATTAGACTTCCCACCTTGGGTTCACTTTAGATGTTATTTCTGGTTTCCTTTACCCTACAGACATGTGAAAATGGGGATTCATGGATATCAAGATTTCAAAGATTCAGTCAAGTCTAGAATGAGTGCCAAATTGTTTCCAAAACTTCCCTCTCCAAACTTAGAACTCGTCTTTGGTGCTTTTCTTACTTTCTTGACAACTTGTCAATGTATTTTAAATGACTTTTACAAATGAAAATATGTGGGGAAAAAACTATATTAAAAAAGAATGTGACAACAGTGGGATTTTTTTCCTTCAGATTTCATAATTTAACTCATAGCTGAAGATTCCAGCACCCAAAAATTCAATGTATGATAGACAGGAAATCATTAGTGAGATATAATCACTAGCTTATACCTAGATGTTCTCCCAAAGCCTCATGTGATCATGGTTGGGAAATGTTGAAGGTGGCTGATCTAGGGTGTGTCAATGTGTTCTAAGAGTGTGATGCTGAGATTAAAGGGAAAATGACAGAAGCTCCACCTGGATGTGAGTGGCATCCATCAATGGGTTTACAGCCTGGATAGAATACAAACAAATAAAAGGAATGTTTCTGCTGCTATTACCTGCTGCTTGCTGCCTTTTGCCTGCCTTGCCGCACCATGGGCTATTTTTTGTTCACAGTGCCCCTCTGCCACAAAACTCTGCCTTGGAGCCAGGCAACTGTGGACTGAAACCTCTCCAAACTATGAGCTGAAAAAAGAAACTTCCTTTACCTTTGGTTGTCTGATGATTTTCTCTCAGTTATGAGAAGAGTAACTAAAACAAACAGTTAAGAGATTTGTACAAGATTATCAACCGACTTGTCCTAACTGACATTGTAAATATCCTACTCATTTATAGCAAAACGTGCAAGGTGTAATAATAAACTATGGTAAGTACTTGACTTTTTAAAGTGGGTCCAATAAAACACACAGGGCCATTAATTTCTCAAAATATTCCCCCAACTACTTTGAATATATTTAATTCATTGCTCAGCCCACTTTATGAAGGAGCTCTGGAAGACCTATTTGCAAAGACTTTTTAGTTATACTATCACAGCTGCTTCAGTGTCCTAAATTGATTCAAACATTTACCTTTCCTGAACATTTTGAGTATGAAGAAGAGCTATAAATCACAATGGGCTGACGAGATAGCTCAGTGGTCTAAAGCACCTGCTTGGGCAAGCTTAGGCAAGCACAGGAACCACAGTTTGATCCCTGGTACCACATGCTGCACCGACCCCATCCCCAAGGTGGACTGAGTCAGCCACAAAAAAAAAATCACACAGTGCCAGACCCAGATGATAAAGTGGATGAGGACATCCATGTGTTTTCATTAGACAGAAGCTGCCATAAGCACTTTGGTGAGACTGAGGACCTGATGGCTGCCAGGAAGAGACACTCATGAAAGCAAACTTTAAGAACTTCAAAAAGTCACAGGAACACTGGGATAACTGTATTAAAAGTCAGGAGGACTTGTGGAGGAGGTTGATGGCAATGTGTCTTCAATACATTTTGTAAGGTTTTTATTTAACCATTCACCATATTTATATTAAACCTGTGTATTAATTTCAACTACACAGAACATTACTATTTAATCTTAAAGTATAAGATGATTTAACATTACTGAAAAAAATCAAGAATGTTTCTTAGCAAAATAAAATTAATTTAAAAAGAGCAGAAAGACATTTACAAAAAAATCTCAGAATATTTGCACACTAAACAGCAACTTATAAATAAATAACAGGTTTAAAAATAAATCCCAAAGAAATTTAGAAAATATTTTAGACTACATAAAAACGAATTCACAAAATATGAATATTTATAAGTGCAATTATTATAGTTCAGAGAAAAATCATAGCTTTTTAAATGTCAATTCTAAAAAAGAAAAAAATGATAATAAATAATCAAAATTTGCACTTGAGAAAAAAGAAGCATATTAAGTTGAGTTACTCTTGAGCAAGCTAACACTGAAAATCAAAGAAAAAGCTATCAACGTTGAAAAACAATAGAGAAGTCAGCAAAAGCAAGAACTGAACTGTTTTGCAAAGGTCAACAAAATTGGTGAATCTTTTGCTAGACTGACCAAGAACGAGAGAGAGAGAAGGCCCCAATCAGAACATTCAGGCCTGAAGGAGGTGTCCTCATTACTGCTAGTATAGGAGCAAATGCAACTGTAAGTATATGCCAGAAGGTTAGACAGCTGAAACGTACTGGCTGGAGCTCTAAGAAGCACACATTATCAAACTGTCTTAAGAAATTTTTAAAAAGAGACTTGATGCCAGTAAAGAAACTGAATTAATGAGATAGCTGAACCATGATCAGAAAAGCATCCAAAATCCGAATAGAGATAAAAGAGAAAACAACCAGGGCTGGCCAGATAGCTCAGGGGAGTAAAGTGCCTGCTTTGGCACAGCTCAGGGACCAGGGTTTGATCCCCGCCCCTGCCCTCGGGGAGTGCTGAGACAAGGATGGAGACTAGATATGGTGGAGCACATCTGTAATCCCAGTGCTTGAGAGACTGAAAACAGAAAGACCCCCAGGAGTCCAATCTACATAGTGAGATCCTATAGACCCTGAGTACTAACTACTTTAATAGTTAATTCAATTTTAATTGGTTTGACATCTCCTCTATTTTCCATTTCTTATTTAGTTCTGATAACTCGTTCTTTCTGAGGAATCCTTCCACTAGTTCATAAACTGAAGCAGGAGCCCCAAGTTTAATGATAAACACAAGAATGAAAAACAAGATGGTTATTATCGCCAGCTCCTGGGTTGTGAGATGATCTGTTATGAAGTGCTTTGTAGCAACAAATGAATAACATGCAAGACTAAACAATGCAAAAGAAAATAAAATGGGAAGATTTTACTTTTTTGTTGTTGTTGCTTTTTTTTTTTTTTTTAGCAGAACCGGAAATTGAACTCAGGCCCTTGTGCTTGCCAGGGAAGCGCTTATTCCACTGAACCATCACCCCAGCCCAAGATTTTACATTTTATTAAGTCTTACTGGATATTTTTGCCTATCTGATAATAATTTATATGCAGCATAATTATCTTCATACTTTGTCTTTTCTGAAAGAGCAATGCCCATAATCACTGTTGATGATTTTCTGTTACTATTTTTATACTCGTATTCCTTCCATGTTCCTAACTGCCACTTCCTGCATGTACATTGGACCACCTGTTCTTTGAGAAGTGCATAAATTTCCATCCACAGAGGCAGCTGATATTCACCCTTTTCATACTAGGAATAGAAAACCAGGGTTCTGCCAACTGTGTCAAAATAACATTCAAATCCATGCATAGACAAAGACTATGATTTCTTCCTCTTCCCTTAAGTAGTCAAAGAGAAGTACCAATGGAACCATTAATGCATGTAATGGGAAAGAGGGCATCTACTGAAGCAGGGTTGAAGAGAATACCAAGGAAGCCTGACTTGCTAGCTTATTTGTGCCTTCAGATATTAATAATATATGCCGTTCTATTTTATAAAGGAACACTGTTTACACACGTCTAAGTTTATGATTTGTAGGATCCTATGGCACTAATTCAGGATGAAAAAGTGATTTCTGGGTATCTTTTTTGACAGGGAAAGAAAATGAATTTGCTATATATTTGGCTACATATAAGATGCCCAAGACTGTCATTTTCTGAAAGGAGATAGAGTTGGCTTATGGTGACCAAGCAAGGAAAGAGTAGCTCATTAGTACCCCTGCCTCACTCTGCTGTTATCTCCCAGCACTCTCCTGCTCTTGATCCTCCTCCAGGAACCCAGCAGAAAGACAGACACAAAAGAGATGCTTACTGCAATCTATTGTAAATCAGGTTCCTGGACCACATAATGAAGCATATAGGTAAGGAAGGTGGAGTGTGGAGTAACTGATCTGCAGGAAAAACTACGGGATATCTAGAAATAGGTACATTTCCTTAATTTTATAAAAACAATCTAAATCTATATTAATATTAAGGATTTAAAGAGATTAGGTTTTTCTGTTTTATCTGCTAGAAATATTGAGGATTTAAAGACAATGAAGATACAGAAATTTGTATTTTATAAACAAATTCATAAAGATTAGAGATATTATCACACATAAGTCAGTATAAAGACTGCAGATACCAGAAAGCAGAGCATTTTTCTGAAATGTTTCAAACAGGAAGTTAAATTAAAAAGCACAGAATGATGACTTTAATATTCATTGCACATCTTGACTACTTAAATAAAATGATGAAAACTATCTTGATTCATATGTACCTCTTTACTATCACTATTTGCAAGTTAACCTCTAAAGTAAGTTATTTATGACAAGGATTTGTTCCACCATTCAAAGTACATTTATTAGTTATGTAGAATGTGTATAAATGTATCATAATTTGATTTAATTTTAATAACTCCCTAAATAGCACTCATATAAATTTTAACCTATCTACTTAGATACTTAACAACTATAAATTCTCATAGGTCTTACAAAGAGTAGATGAGTTTATATATAAGTAGATCAGCAAAATTTAAATAAATCCAGCCTTCTGCATTAACTTTTCTACCACTACTATCAAGAAAGGACAATTAGGAAAATTGTGGATGATTCCTTGAGGGTGTAATTTAGTATCCCCAAAGTGCCTCCACTTGGAGATAGTAGTAAGAGAAAATTTAGAACATTATGAAAGAAAAAAACCACGTATGAATGAGTTCACCGTGACACACAAGTTAATAATGGCTATTGTCCCAGAGTAACAGGTAATAGCATCACTTCTTTCTCAAGTATTTCTTGGTTTAAGTGACAGATCGCATGGGTACCTTACTAAGAATTACCTACAACGTATGTGAAGCCTGAACTGAATTTTTATATTAGGAAAGGGCACAGTTCCAAACTCAGGTAGAATCATGTAGTCATGTTTTGACAGGCAATGTTTAAAGAACAAAGAAAAATCAAGTATCTTTATATTGTATAATAATTTACCAGAGGTTCTTTCTTCTCTAAAGACAGGAGTTTTTTCTTGTTAATGGTGTGCCTCTTGAAACATTTCAAAATCCCATCACTGCTCAAAGTTCCTTTCTAACTAAATATACAATTGAAATTTTTAAAAAAGAGCTTTGTATGGTTCACAATATGTCTATTTGATTTTTCAATTTTTTGAGTTTAAAGATATAGTTGAAGATATCAATAGGCACTCACTTTAAATTTCTCAGTTTCTAATAACTCAAATACTGAAATCATACAACAAATATGTGCTAAGTGCTTATGTGAAAATGGGACACAATAAAGACAGTGTTCTCAAAATACCCAAATGTCCACAGGTCCAGATTTGCTCAGCAAGGTCCCCCATCATCTTCAAACTAAGCCATTAATAAACTCAGTAAATATCGCCTAGTTTGTAAGTGAAACACTGAGACTCTAAATGGGTGATTTTGTGTATAGAACTGCACTTGGTTTTCTGTGCTTTCCCAGGAAAGCAATGTGGAAAGTCTTGTTCTTACCTTTCTGCACAGCTAATGGTATTTCTTGAAGTTTCCAGATCGACCAAGAGTCAATTTTTAGGATAATGGTTTTCTTTCTCGATTTTTGTTGTATTAAAGTTTGTTCAGCTTCTGCTCGATCAGTTTCTAGACTTTTGATAAGGTGGATGACCTCCGACAGCAAGGTCTCCATTTCTTCCTTTAATTCTGGACACGTTTCACCTTAAATAGAAATATGTTTCACAATCTGTTAATGAACCATGTTATAAGCCAAGTGATAGAAACATGAATCATAGTTGTAATATTTTAAAAATTTATATACTTAATGACAATATTTGATTTTGTTATTTTATTTTTAAAGAGAAAAGAATAATAGAAAATCAATAAAAGAGAGTTTCCAATCAGGTTAATAGGAAAGTAACAATAAGTGATGCACTGCACATTGTTATCATCATAGTTGTTACCCAGAATACAAGGTATAGGTGTGAAATAATGGCCAGACAATATTAGAGTAGATCTTTCTTTTCAATGAACTAAGGAAAATTATCTGAATAACTATCTTACATTCTCTTCCTTTTGCCTTTCCCCTACCAGGTTCTCTTTTCTCTTGAACAGTTTCTTCAATTCACAAGGTCTCTTGTACTTTTTCAATTTCATTTACTCATTTAGCTTCTCAAACCAAATGTTCATCATCCAAGGAATGGATAAAAAATGATGTGTGTGTGTGTGTGTTTGTTTTTATTTTCCTCTAATATCTTTATTTATTTATTGTATATTAATTTTTTGAGAAAGAAGTAGCAATGAGATAGTTTCAAAGCAGGCTAGTAGGACAGTTACAATAATTAATGTGTGTGGTTTTTGTAAGTGTAACAGAGTAGTACTCAACCATAAAGAAGGATAAACTCAAGGCTTTTATACAGAAATGTATGCAATTTGAGGACATACTTGTAAATGAAATAAATCAGACTCACACGAGTAAACATTGCATTGTCTAACTAATAACAGTATTTTAGAAAACTGAACTAAACCCTTTAAAGCAGTTTTATTACAATGCACTGTATTTCAAATAAATTGATTTGAAAACTTGCAAACACAGATCTTTTAATAAAAAATTTATAAAAAACAATATCTTCATGAAAAGCATAATTTTTTGGAAGGAAAAAGAGGGAGTCCTTTCACAATCTGTATTAGAGAGTTTTATTTTAAAATTAGATCTGTTTTCTTCTATTCTATGGTAAAATAAATCATAATGATTACATAGATAAATACTCAAAATTCTCAAGATTGTTTCTAGATAAAAATAGGTATTCTTCAATCTTATTAGATAATTATATTTTTACATAGCCTTTCAAGGAATTCAACATGCTTTGCAAATCAATTATACTTAGCTTTAATACAAATTAACTCCTTTAATGAGACAACTTGTGTTTCCTGGTTCACGGTTCTGGAATGATATGATTTAATGTCAACACAGATATTACCATGGATGCTTATTCATCTACAGCGTTCATGAAAAACTACTAACACAGCCTCCTACTTTCTTAGCAATAAGCTCCACCTTGAAGATGAGGTAAATGAGAGAGATAAAGGCTCTGTCCTTGTGGGATTTCTGCCTACTAAACAAAGGTTTTTTCCAAAACGATATGACAAGAATACATAGATACAAACTGTCAAGAAAGATAAGCTCCCAAAAAAGTTGAGGCTAAGGGTAAAACAGTAGAACTGCATTAAGAAAACCCACTGAGTAATTGTCTCTCTTGGATTACTCCTGGAAAACAAACATAATGATTTTCTGTTTGATGACTGTATTAGTTAATAGTTACATTATGGTTAGAAGCATAGAGGCTGGAGGGATGGCTCAGTGGACTAAGCGCTTCCCTGGCAAGCGCGAGGGCCTGAGTTCAATCCCCGGTTCCACAAAAAAATAAAAAAAAAAATGAGACCCTGCCTCAATTTAAAAAAAAAAAAAAAAAAAAAGAGAAGTATTGACACAGACTCTATATTTTTATTTTATTATTCTAATACTGGGAATTGAACCCAGGACCTTCGCACTGACCTACAACCCCAGCAATTTTTATTTTTATTTTCAGTTGTGGCCTCAGTGGCTAAATTTCCAAAGCTGGTACTGCACAGGCACGTCTCCCAGATGAGACCCGGCAGAGTTCAGGGATTGCTGGCGTGTACCACTAAATCTGGCTATTTCTAATCTCAGGGGTTTGTCAAAGATTTTCTGCAGATTTCCTGACAGGAATTCTTGAGTGATAGGTTTTTCTAATGCACAAAAGTGATTTTCTTTTTTCTGGTCCTTTATTTGCTATTTTTGAATCTATTATTTACTTTTGCCAAATTCTGCAACATCCTGATCACTTCAAATTGTTAACTGCGTTTTGAACGAAAACACACTCATCTAATGCTCTACTTCAGATAATTTATGATTCATTCTATGATGAAGTTTATGACTTCAGTCTGAATCACAAAGAAATTAACACATAATCAAAATATTTTTAGAGTAGCTTTATATGTGTTTTACAGAGGTATTCACTCTACAAACTGTCATTTATTGTTCCTAGAGCAGCATCCTCAAATAAATGATAGAAGTGTATAAAACTTGGAGCACCTATAATTTATTGTATTAAACATCTCTGAAAGATGTTTATGTTCTCCATAAATCATTATAGTTACTATTTCATATTGACTAAGTAAGCAACTACCTTCAACCTTTAATATAAATATTTCATTAAAAGAAATCCCCCTCGCTCTGCTATTACTATTTTTAGATGCAAATGTACTGATGTGTAATAAACATATGCATAGATAACAATTTAACTGTGATTTTTAATATTACCATATTAAACTTTTCTCTAACCTTCGTCCTGTGAAATCTGATAAGTACTGATATTGTTTTTTACTCTGTACACAAAAATAACATGAAGAGAAACAGTCAAAAACAAGGCTTCCTTATGAATGAAAGCTTTGAACAACAAACACTTTTGCCCTTAAAAAGTCCAGTGTTTTCATATCCTTCACCAAAGGTGAAAGAAATTAAGAAATTTTGTAGTATGCATTGGTAAAGAATTTAATATAATCTCAAAAATATTTTCAAATACTTTGAAGTAATTTTAACACAAATTATATGAGTATGTAACATTTTGGTTTTTATACATTATAATAAGTATCAATCAATTTAAATATGTACAAGTGTTTCAAAGCCCATGTGTAGCTATGTACACTTATTTTTTTTTTAATGTATTTGGTACAGGGGCTCACTATGCAGCTTGGACTCCTAGTCCTCCTGATTTCAGCCTCCCCAGCTCTGAGATTACAGGCATGTGCCACCACATCTGGTCTTGGTAGCCTGCTAAGCCCACCCTGGAGTGGGGCCAGTGTGGCATGTGGTAGAGGGGATCAAACCCCAATCCCTGTGCTTGCCTAAGCAGGCACTTAATCCATCGAGCAATCTTGCTAGCCTATGTACATTTAAATGTAAGTGAATCAAGAGAGAGTTTCCTTAGATGTGCCATATTCTGTATCTTCAGCTGTTCTGTGTGTAGCTACTGGCTGCTATATTAGAGAACACAGGAGTAGAATACTTTGATTATCACAGAGAGTACTACTGCACAACTCTGAATTTTAGTTAGTATCTTAAGATGTGGGCCTATAACATGTTCTCAGAATTTATACCAGTATTTGCTACGAAATAGCTACAGGTAAATATCTGTTGAATGAATGCCTCATCAAGTGGTATGAAGGGTATTTATTTTATTCAACCATCACAGAATTGTAAAACACAACATTATTGTGAAAGTTAGAAATTTATTAAGTGATACAGAGAACAAATTGTTCAAACAATGGCCCTGACTCATCAATATGGCTGATGCTGACGAAGGATCTACAAACTGAGGTACAGGGTTTCCTGAGGGGATTTGAGTGATTTCATATCAGATATGAAAGTTACATTTCTTGTTACAACTTTTGCTCTTTCTTGGTCTTAACCGTCCAGCAGAAAGGTATGAAAATGAAGTATAAAAAGTAAAGCCATTGTAATATGATGAGCTGTAAAATGCTCAAGTCAACAACTTTGGACATTGACAGTATTATGGAAAACCCACTACTATTATGGACTATTGGACTACATTAGGATATTTTGCTGAATTCATGAACCTACAGTATTTAAATGACAATGGAATACCCTTCTCTGACAAAACTAAACAAAAAAAGGAGGATACAAAAGAATGACCATTTTGTATCTATATACTCAAAATAGTTAGGATAGATATATAGCTCCATTCTCTTAATTCAATGAATAGAGAGGTTTGTTCTAATAGTGTTTGAGACAGGATATCAGGTCTGCATCTTGTACAATGAATAACCACTAAGACAAGAATATGCAATGTATTAATTATTGAAAATATACTAGTAATCAGTTGTAAAACTATCTCATTGCTATTTGCTTCTCGATAAAAATATTAAAAAGGAAATATATTAAGTGATAAATCAATGAGTTTTAAATATAATTATATTTGCATAAGTATAATGAAGAAATTTACCTCTCTTTTCTTCTGGCTTGACTTTTTCCCCTGGTTTAGTAGTATTCAAATCTTCTTTTGGAATTGAGGAAGAAGTTCTACTCCTAAAGAAGGAATTATTTAGTAAAGGAAAAGTGTATTTAATAAACAGTAAAATAGATTAGAGGTAATACTCATGTGAAATATGAAATGTTTGTGTTACATTTACTACATATATCAATCCTATTATATAGGGGACTAATATAGTGAAAATTTGACAGGTAATTGGATTTATACTTAATGCAAAATTAATACAAATTTAAATTTTGTTTTAAATGCTTAAAATCTTGAGTGGATATCGAGGCTACTTTCTGATAAGAAATTAAGTTTTTTTTATAGAGACAAGTGTATTTAGTAATACAAGGAGTAAAACTATCATTCTAGATTTAAAGTTAGTAAATTTTTAGAAAAATGCTGAAATTGAAATGTGATTTTCTTTCTAAATTATCTTTTAAATCAGTTTCTTTATGTTGAATAATGAAAAATTCCTCTTCATGACTATTTTTCTGGTCCAATTCTATGAAATTAAACTAGTATTTTTTTATCTTTAAAAGGTGATTTTTCATTTACTAAAATTTTAAGAAAACCAGCATCAATAACAATGTATTTTGCTTTAGTTACATGACGTTGCTTTCATAAACTTTAATGCCATTCGGCATTTCTAATGGTTGCACATTGCTATTTTTATTGATTCAGAAATTATTTTGGAAAGCTATTATTTTGTAAGATAGGAAAAATATTCGTTTTCTTTAGTTTCAATTTTCATTGCAAAAATATTTTAGTTTCTATTGCAAAATATTTTTAAGTTCCCTTTACTTTAAAATATATTTTTGAAAACATATTCCAGATTCTAGTTGTAAGTAGCATGCCACTAGCTTCTAATGCCAATTATATGATATGGTAAACTATTGACCACAATTAGGTGTATACAGGTATATTATCTTCTGAAGTTTAGTTCTAATTATGTTAACTTTTATTGCTATTTTTAAGTAACTTTGCAAAAAGTTAACCATTTGAATAAGCAGTCACTTCCACTTCACTCCAACTAGGCATAAGTGAGACCGGTTTACTTTCTGTCTCTATAGACACACTGATTCTTGGTATTTCACACAAACAAAATGATACAAAGATGAGATTTTACATCTGTGTTCTTTATATTGGCATGGTACTTTTCAGGCTTATCCATATTATAGCAATATCATAACTTCATTTTTGAATGACAGAATATTTCATTGTATACTTAAGCTGCATTTTGTTTAGCTATTAATCCAAATGTGAATTTGGGAGTGTCTCTAGCTTTTAGCTGTTGTGACTACTTGGTTATGTTATGACATTGGTGTATATTTTACTTGGAACACTTGTTTCAAATACTTTTTTGGACACGCAGTAACACCTCTCTGAAACTTCTGGTTCATATAAAAATTTTAGATTTTAATTTTTGAGAAGCCAAAAAGCTGTTTTATTTCATGTGTGAATCATTTTAAATCTACACCAATATGGTAAAAGAGTTCCTCAAATGATGAATGTAAATGATGAGACAAAGCCCTCTTATCCCAGTCCTGTTCTAAGGTTAAATTTTTAGGCTTCATAATAAAGTATAGAATAAACCAAGGGTTTTTCATGGAAGTCCTTATTGTGTTGAAGAATTCCCCTTATAATCAAAGTTTTCTGAAAGGCATTACCTTAAGCCACATATTTATCCCACTAAAATGTTCAAGCAGATTTTATTTTTCATTTTATTATAATGGAATTATGTTGGTATTTGTATATTAGATTGCTTTTATAGTCTTAGGATAAATCCATCCTCTATGATGTATAATCTTACTAATAGAATTACAGGACTCAATACTAGGTTACTCAGATTTTGTTGAGGATTTTGGCATCTACATTCTAAGAATCATTTCCACGCAATTTTATTATTACATTTTTATATGATTTTGAGAATATGATTAATACTGGTATCATAGAATGAATTAGCAAATATTCTCTTCTAATTCTTGAAGGTTTTAAGAAAGGTTGATACTAATTCCTTTTCCCAATGTTTAGTAGAATTAACCAGCCACCTGAAATGAGTTTTCTTTGTTAGGATCATTATTTCAGTGTCTACTTCTTACAGGTCAGTTTGTGTGTTTCTCCTGAAGCATTTATGATAGGTGATGTATTTCTAGGCATTACCTTTTAGGTCAGTTATTAAATTTGTTGTTATACAATTTTTCATAGTATCCTTTTATTTCTGGAGGATGAGTTACAATGTACTAGTCAAATTTTATTGAGACTTCTCTTCTGTTAGTATAAACAAAGTTTTGCGAGTTGAGTTCAGGTTTTCAAACAAAAAACTTAAATTTTAATTAATTTTTATTGTTTTAATTGGTCACTACTTTATTATTTCTTAGTATCTTTCTTTTGCACACTTTAGATTCAGGAGCCGGTAAGATGGCTCAGTAGAATAAGCACTTCCCTGGCAAGCGCAAGGGCCTGAGTTCAATCCCTGCTAAAAACTTTAGGTTTAACTTATTCCCTCTCTTCTAGTGTCTTGAAATATAAAATTAGGTTAACAGTTTGGGAATCACTTTCATGTGAGCATTTGGAGCTCTACATTTCACTTTGAGAACTACCTTTACTGCATATTATAAATTTTGGTGAATTCATTTCCAAACACTTCTAATTTCTTCTGTGATTATTATTTTGATCCACTGGTTTTTGTTTTGTATAACTTCCACATATAAGTGAATTACATAGTTCTATCTCTGTTACTTATCCCCACTTCATTTTATTCAGAAAAGAAACTTTGTATGAGTTTGATCTTTCTATTTTATTGGGCTTTGTTTTGAAGCCTCATGTGATATATTCTGAAGAATGTCTTATGTGCTTATGACAAGAATATGCTTTTGCTGCTATTGAGAGGAGCAAAATAAGTAAGTTGGTTAAATCTCATTGTTCTTGGTTGGTTCAAGTCTGGAGAATAACTTCTGCTTTTTTTTAGTACATGAAAAATGGAGAATAACTTCTTTTTAGTTCTTTTATTCATTATTGAAAGAAAAGAAATTGAATTGTCAACCTTTACTTATAGAAATATCTATTTTGTTCTTCAATTGCATGACATGTTTATCTATATATCAAATCAATAATTCAATATAACAAATATATCAATCAATATATCTTCATCTTCTGCAATAAGTTTATATTTAGATGCACTGGTGTATGATACTATCATGCCACCTAGCCTGATTTTAGTTATTATTTGCATGAACTTTTTCTTTCCATATTTTTATTCCTAACATACTTGTGTCTTTAGATCTCCAGTGAGTCTCTTATAGACAGCATAGAGTAAGACATTCTACATTAATAGATCTTAGTTCATTTTTATGTAAAATAACTATGCATAAGGGAGGACTTACTTTCAGTATTTTGCTATTTTATACAACATCTGTATATTTTCTATACCTTGGTTTCTCCATAACTGCTATCTTTTGGAATGAGTTAATTTTTTTCTAGTATGTTGCTTTAGTTTTCTATTTACTTTAAAATAAGCTTTAAAATCTTGTTAAAAATCTTAGAGATTACTTGGGGTGGTAATTAATGTATTAACTAGATAAAACTTGTCTGAATTACAATCAAAGCCATTTAAACTGTATTTAAAAACTGATCATTCATATCTCTACCTTTCCTTTTATTTTTTAAATGTATTTAGTACAGGGTCTACAGAGTCTCACTACACAGATCGGACTTGTATAGATTCTCCTGTTTTCAGCCTCCCAAACCCTGGGATTACAAGCATGCGCCATTATGCCCAGTCTAAATCACTGTCTCAGTGTGCCCCCGGAGCAAGGCCAGCATGGCATTCTGGGGATCAAACCCTGGCCACTGCACTCTGCCTAAGCAGGTGCTTTAGTCTGCTGAACTATCTGGCCAGCCCTTTTCCCTTTTTGTAACTCTTTCAATTTATGCATTTATGTAATGTGTATCCATTGACACATAATTATGGGTTATGTAAAGAAATAAGGTTATAAGACAAAGATACAATTACAGTAATTTTTTTAACTATCACTACTTTTTTGCATTTCTTCATAGTTTTCAGTTACTATCTAGTATTCTTCTATTTCAGCCTGCAAGGAATACCTGGAGTAGTTCTTTAAAAGTAAGCTATTAGTGATACACTCCCTAATACCCATGTGGATGCAGTTTTTATCTGGAAATGTGTTCATTTCTCATTTAGTTTTGAAGGATACTTTTACTGAATTTGAAGATTCTTATAAAAGATGGACTTTCCCCATTTCTTTCAGCATCCAAATACATCATTCCATTGTCTTCAACCTTCATAATTTTTGGTAAGAAATAAATGATGATCAGATTGAGGCTATTTTATTTTTGACAATTCACATTTGTCTCAGTATTTTCAATATTCTCTTTTTTCCCCAAGCTTTGAATAGCTTGACTAACGTCTATATTTTTTGTTCTTTTATTTTTTTTTTTTGCATTTAGTACAGGGTTTACAGGGTCTCACTCACAGATCAGAGTTGTAGTTATCCTGTTTTCAGTCTCCTAAGTTCTGGCACTACAGGTACACACCACCATGCCCAGTCTCATTCGCTATCTCAGTGCACCCTGGGGGCGGGACTAGCATGGCATTCTGGGGATCAAACGCCAGTCCCTGCATCTTCCTGAGCAGGTGCTTTAATCTGCTGAGCTATCTGGCCAGGTCTTTATATTGTATTGTATCTCTTTGATTTTAATCCTATTTGAAGTTCATTGACTTTAGAGAATGTGTAGGTTCATGTCTTTCATCAAATTTTGGAAGTTTCAATGTTAATTGTCATTCAAATATTGTTTCTGTCCCACTTTCTCTTTCCTTATAAGAAATTTAGTATGAATATATTTCTGTCTTCCTAAGACTTCTTGGATACTGTCTACTTCAGAGAGCGAATAACCTCTGTTGACCTATCAGACTTCTACTTCTACTTCTTTCTTCTACTAGTTCAAATAGGTTGCTGAACTTCTTTAGTGAAACTTATACTTCAATTATATTACTTTTTGGCTACTTATTTTCTCTTTGCTCAATTATTTATGGTTTACATTTTATCTTCTATACTTATTCAGGCATCATTTCCTTAATTCAACTTAGTTCACTGTCCAGTTTCATATATCTCATTGAGAGTATTTAGAAGGTTATTTACAATATTTGTCCAGTAAATACACATTTGAGATTTACCTTGGCATAGTTTATACAACTCTTTTGTTCTTGTTGTGAAGGGTCAAGCTTTCTCTTTCTTGTTCTACTACCTGAAAAATTTTTTTCTAGAAAACTGATTATGAATATTTTAATGTAGAATGGATATCATGTTACCCCTCTCATGTTACATCTACTATTTGTTTGCTCTGAGATCATCTTTTGCTTAACGACTTTAAATTTTTTTAATGTTTCTGAAATGTCTGTATTTTTTGTCCCATATGACCACTGTAATCTTTACTTAACTAGATAGTAAACTAATACTTTTGCTGTCATACCTTAATTGCCTGAGAACTAAAAGAAAGAAAAAAGAAAAAGAAACTCTCCCAACCACAGGTGATTGACTCTGTGTTATGGCATTCCTTCAATGCTTACTCAGGCTGCTTAGAATCCTACCTCTCCTTTCAGTGCTTCCCTATACAGATCTTCTAAGAATCAGTCAGAGGTAAGGACTACAGTATTCTCAGGTATTTTCTGAGCCTATTCCCAGCCCTCATCATATCTGGATATTTCTGGATTCTGTAATATAGTGAAATCTTTGAAAAGCCCTATTGCCTCACATGAATCTTTTCCTAACCTTCCTTTCACATGCATTTTCATCCGTGCAATGCTTGCTTCATTTGTTATCCATTATCCCAGGCTCCTATGGCAGGTGGATATTTTAAAATCCTTTCAGAAAGTACAGCCTAGAAGATATCCCAGCCTGTGATTGATCTCTCAGGTAAAACAAGGCAAGCATTTGTGCTGGTTTTTTTATACTACAGTCAAGTCAGAATACTCTAGCACAATTCTTTGGAAATAAAGAATTATTAGTATTAGTGCTAGAAATTTTCATAACTGTGGGATGCTATTGACATGGCTACCATTGATACTGGAATAACAGGGTCAAGCAGCCAACTTCAAATGCTATAGTACTCTCCTAATATGATTAAGCAGCTTTTTAATTTTTTTAAAAAAATTATTCATTTGATACTCTGCAGCTTGCTGTTTTCAGCCTCCCCAGGTCTCAGTGGCCCACTCAGTACGAGCTATCTCCCCAGCCCAAAGCTTCTTTAAAGTTAGTTTTTCCTTGGTTGTTCCAAACTTTTCACCAGATTCTAAATTTCTGCAAATTTTTATTTTTTGCCTATTTTGGGCGAAATTTTGAATTAATTGAGATAAGGAGGCCCCTATTCTTTCACTTACCATAAGATCCCCCTGCTTATATTTTTAAAAATATATTACAACATATAAAGTAAAAATGTTTGCTTTTAGTTTCTCATTCTTTTTGCATCCAAACTGGCTAGATATAGATTATCAAAATTTCAACATAAAGAAGCATGTAATTTTCTTACCATTTTTCCAAAGAAGTTTCAAACTGTCAAAATAAGAGATTTGAATAAAAGTCAAATTTTAAGCATTGCATAGAACAATCAGTCAACTTCACTTAAGCTTACTAACAAAATTTTGAACTCTATATTTAACATACCCAGCAATACTTTGAATAAATTATACTTCTATTCCAAATATATATATATATATATATATATATATATATATATATATATATCTTCAGGTTGTATAATTCAATCACTTGTTACAAATATGTATATATTTCTCGGTCTGACTCTTATTCTTGCTTTTTTCCTTTTATTCCTGCATAATTTTTCTCACCTTTTATATCTTTGTTTTTAAATCTAGTTCTTCCTGAAGCAGCAAATCTGCTTATTCCCAAAGGGTTTTCACACTCAGAAATGCATAACATTCATCGAATATTAATGTACTGACAAAAGAATGGTAAATACAAAAATTATTTGCCATTACACAATTTATTTTTCCATTACATCTCCTCAGGACTATAAACTCTCTAGTTGGTATCATGTTCTATAGACATAGCTTAACAATACTTTGGGTTATAAAAGTCATAAATTACCAAGAATGCAAGGAGTATATAATCAAATTCTATAAGGTTCATAAATTATCTACAATTCAAGATGTTAATTTAGGTGTACACAATTTTCTTCAGTTACCATAGCCTACCTTTGCATATTTCATGAAAAAACATGAAATATTTTGGGAATATTTTTATAAGTAGAAGGGAATTTGATTAGACAGATAGTGAAAACAGAGGAAAAGAAAGTGAAACTAAGAACAGATAAAATGTAAACCATTAGAGGATTGGAAACAGTTTTCTGAGATATTACAGGAACTCTCAGCATGTGAGAATGCATAGATGATTAAAGAACTGAAGGAATTCCCATGGATGAGACAAATTATCCCATTGTTTTCTATACCCAGAGTCCAGAAATCTTGTCCCCTAGATGTTGCCATGAGAATAGCTCTTTAAACATATTTTAGATCTGCCTAAGATCTACAGGTAAGACAAATGTGGAACCTATGGTTCTATAGTGAAACAGAAAAGTCTAGGTAACAAGAAAAATCTCATAATGGTCACAAATAAGAGAGAACACACAATACTCATATAGGAGTCAAATATTTTAAGATGGTAAAACTCAAACGTAAGCTTACTTAGATAAATTTTTTCTTGCCTCAATATATGACCTCCTTCCTAATTAGATTGATTCCAAGTAAAAGTTTCTATTTCCTAGGAAGGAATCTTTCATATATACATCTTCTGAGAGTTGTTCAAACAACTTATGCTGAAAATGTAGTTTGATATATCACTGACAATAAATACAGTACAAATATTTGAGGACAGAGCCATCAAGATAGCTTATCAGACTACCCACCAGCTTAGGCAAGCACAAGGACCCAGGTTCAATAACTGGCACCACATGCCATGCCAGCCCCAACCCTGGGAACACTGAGTGGGCCACTGAGACCTGCTATGATGGGGCACACCTGTAATCCCAACACTGAGGAGGCTGAAAACAAGAGGATCACTTTGAGTTCAAGCTGCATAGTAAGAACTTGTATCAAATACACAAATATTTGGGGACAGATTATAAGATGAACAATAAAAAGTTATTTCAGATATAACAGAAATATTGCAATGAAAATTGAAAATGAGATTATTATTTTTTATTTTTCTTCTTCTTCTTCTTCTTCTTCTTCTTCTTCTTATTATTATTATTATTATTATTAATTTTGTTCTGGGGAAAAAATTCAGGACCTTGCACTTGCCAGGCAGTCACATATGCCACTGAGCTATATCCCTGGCTTGAAATGGAGGTTGTTAGAAAGGACTCTATTAATATGTAAAATACAATGCTCCTTAAAACACTATGAATAGAATTTATATTTCAACTTTCCATATTGTTGATGGGAATGTTATAACTAGTATAACCATTATAGAAACCAGTATAAAGATTCCTCAAAAAATTAAGCCTGGAATTCCATTTAACCCAGCCATTGGTCCTTTATGTATTTTACATAAAAAGTAAAGAATTAGGGTCAGTGAGATATCTATCTCAGCAGACAAAAGTGCCTGCTTAGGTAAGAGCAGTGATCGCAGTTCAATCCTGGCGTCCCATGCTGTGCCAGCCCCCATCTCCAGGGCAGGATGAGCTGGCCAGAGTCCTGGTATAGTGGTGCATGCCTGAAATCCCAGGCTGGGGTGGCTGAAAGCAGGGGTATCACTATGAGCCTGAGATGTTTAGTGAAACCCTGTAACAACCAATGCATTAAAAAAAGTAAAGAATCATATCACAATAATATGTGAATGCCCACATTTATAGCAACAGAACTTGTAAGAGATACATTTTGAAAGTAGATCTTATTGAGAAGTGAATAAATAAAGAAAGTGTAGTATATGTATACCATGGTGTATACTCTGTCATAAAGAAGGATAAATTCATGTCATTGTTATGAAGAAAAATCATATTGAGACCATAATGTTTAAAGACAAACCACAAATTTGGAAAAACCTTGACAAATAAGCACTCAAACAAAGGTCTGCCCTCTAGAATTTATAAAGAACTAAAAAACGTTAGGGCCCCTAAGTTTAAAGACCCAATCCAGAAATGGACATCCGAGATGAACACACACTTCTCAGCAGATGAAGTTAAAAGAAGTGAATAAATATGTTTGAAAAGCTCCACATCACTAACTATTCGTGAAATGCAAATTAAAACAACACTCAGATACCATCTCACCCCAGAAAGACTGGCTCTCATAAAGAAATCAACCAACATCAAATGTTGGACACGTTGTGGGGAAAAAGGGAACCCTTCTCCACTGCTGGAGAGAATGTATAGTGGTGCAACCATTATGGAAATCACTGTGGAGACTCCTAAAGAAACTAGGACTGGAAATCCCATTCAAGCCAGCTTGAATGGGGAATTTTCCCAGAGGAACTGAAAATATTGTATCATAGTGATATATGTGTACCTATGTTTATAGCAGCACAATTCATGATAGCAAAATCTTGGAAACAACCAAGATGCCCTTGACATGAAAATGGATGAAAAATATGGTATTTTTATACAATGGAGTATTACTCAGCTATAAAGAATGATAAACTCGGAGCATTTATATTTAAGTGGATACCACTTGAAGATATACTCATAAGTGAGATAAACCAGACTCACAAGTGTAAATATTGTATAGGCTCCCTAGTATTAGAACTCAAAAGAAAAAAATAGAAATAGAAAGATACGACACAATTAAAAGAAAAGTGAGAACTTGAGGATTGGACACTGAGGAGAGGGCAAGGAGAAAAGCTGGGAAACATGACAGGGGCAAAGCCATATATTTATATGCACAAGATGTGGAAGGCAATGATCCTGAGAATCTCCAAGAGGTTTTTGAAACAAGCAGTTAATTGGTAGGATTCTCACCCTGACTAACTATAAAAGCTGATACATGTGAAGTAAGCAACTGCATTGAAGATAGCAATATGTAATAGAAGGGTATTGCTTGGAATGCCTGTCATTCTAGTCTTCTAAATACATATGACTTGTCATGACATACCAATTATTGCCATACTGTCTCTCAAGTAAATGTTTGTTTAAAAAAACAAAGGGGTAATAAATGATAAAAACAGACAAGAAAATAGTCACAGGACTGTACAGCTACAATACATTATATGGATATATTTTTAAATTTCTGTGTAAAATATGTAATTGTTTATTCTTCCTAAATTTTTTAGGGCTTATTGAAATCCTTTTTTTCCATAATTTTATTGATAAACAAATAGCAATGAGACAATTCCAGATCAAACTGGTAGGACAGTTTCAATAATTAACACATTGCATACATTCTGCCTAGTCGTTAATAGCTGTACAAGATGCGGACATGATATCCTATTTACAAACACCATTAGAACAAATCACTCTATTCACTAAGAGAATGTGACTATATATTTATCCTAACCACTTTGAATGCACAGATACAAAATGGACATTCATCTGTATCCCCTTTATTTGTTAAGTTCCATTATTTGAATATTACAGGTATGTAAACTCAGAAAAATATTCTAAAAGAGTCCAGTAGCCCATAATAGAGTTGGATCTTCCGCTTGACTGGCAATGTCAAAAATTGTTGACCTGAGTCCCCTACAGCTCAACATAACAGCATGGCTTTACTTCTTATATCTTGTTCTTATATTTTTCTGCTGGATGGTTGAGACCAAGATAAAGCAGGACCTATGCAACAAGAGTTGTAGCTTTTGGGGCTGATAAGGTCACTGAAATCCCCTCAGGATTTATCCTGAGATCCTGTACCTCAGATTGTAGAACCTTTGTCAGTGTCAGCCATGTGGATGAGTCAGGGTCATTGCTTGGCCAATGTGTTCTCTGTGAAAGCCTGAGAGAGTGTCTTTTCCCCATGTGACTCTCCTTAGGCACACTCTACATCGATCACTTTCCTCTTTGGCCTCATAATCACCATGATCAGAAAATTTGGAACAATACTGAGTTACATGACGTTACAAGTTCTCATATGTCCTGAGTCTTAACTGACCTTAGAGGCTAGGGCCAAAATATTGGCTTTCCTTGCAGCCCTCTTTTTTCTCTAATTTTGGTCTACAAACTGAGGCTGTTAACCATCCAGAAGACAAGCTTATTGTTATTAACATAAAACTTAGGCTATTAAGCTTAACCTCAGTATCTGTCCACATATCAAACATCTTAGGCATAATATGGAACAGGAATTTTTCATCAAGTATTGATGTGTCGAACTTTAAGTCCTTACAGAATATCATAAAAACATTTAAAAATTAGAATATATATTAAAATTAGGCATAAAGAATTATATATTTTTATGTTTACACATAAGTCCAAAAATCTTACCATATACAACCTTGAAGCAAGACAGTCCCAATATTCATTTTCCTGTCTCTTGCTTTCATTTGCCAACCCCTACTTTTTGAACAACCATCTACCTGAGAGACATCATAGCAGCAACTGGCATGTCATG